TCCTATGATGCTGCTTGGCCTGCTGTGTTCATCCAGCCCTGCACCTTATTAAGATTCTCAAATGCCCAAGTAATAGAGTTTAAAATGAAAATAATCCTAATTCTGCCATCTTATGTTAATGGACCTACTTTGCATCGAGCTGATAATTTACAGCATTCCCTGTGGGTAAAGACTCCCTGTGGCTGTAATGAGGCAAAATAAGATTTGGAACTGGTAATGATCCTCATTTTTTAAAACAAATTGAGGCTGTGTACAATAAAAGAACCAACTCCTTGTCATTCAAAGCTATTCTCTGATATTCTTTAGTCTTCTAGTTTAGCTGAGTTGGTAACCTAATTATTTTAAAAGGCATTAATGCTTGCATAATTGAAGTCTCACAGCCCTACATCATACAGAATTCAGATTTTATTAACATTCACCTTGAGCCTGTGTGCAATAGATAGTTGCTGGATGAGTAGTTGTTTTATCCTGATTAACTATCTAAAATGCTACTGAATCACTGGCATAGTAATATGTGTAATCTGTGCAGCATCATTTAAAATCTGGCATGATGAGCCCCATAAGCCCTGAAATCACTGCTTTTCTGTGGCTGGTTCTCTTCCTTATCCCTTCCCTTTTGATGCCATTAATTCTTGGTGAGTTTGGGCAGTGGAGGTATTCTAGGATCTTACTGGACAGATGAACTAACATGAAGCAAAAGGTCTTTCTCATCCATAATTTTCTTGTGATGTACAACAGTGTGCTGTACAACCACATCATAAATTTCTATAGGAACTGTATGTATAAAATGTGGAATTAGAACATTAAATGGAAAAGTTGGGAATGTTTAAAAAAGATCAGTGTACAACTTTAAGATAAGGGTTGAATTACAAGCATGTTTTGGTTCAACTAACTCTCATTCTCTAACACTCCTTCACTTTGTCTCCAATTCCAATGTGAGAACAACTAGTCACTAGAAAAAAAAAGCATCAACAATTGGTCCTTGTAAAGAAACAGTGCATTTTCTTTTACTAGATTACATTAATACACTTTCTGCAGTGTAATTCTGCAGTACTGCATAAAATATCATTTGTAATTGTCTTTGTTTTTATGTAAATCTATTTACACGTTCTTGTTTGATATTACAGTAAGAAAATATATTAAATGACTGAAACCTTCTGGCAAAAGCAATTACCTTCTTATTTGATATTTACAATGACCAACATTTAAAGAAACATCATCTGACCATTTACCCGTTGCAAGCTGGCAACTTTCAGGCACAGGGCCTGGGCTTTCACTTGGAGACAGCCACAAAGTCTTTCCAAAGAGTCACCTCCAGTGTCCTTAATATTTCAGCTACACAGTACCTTGTAATGAAAATTAAACCCATCACAACAAGGATTAATATGAGACAACAGGAACATTCTATGGAGTGCTTCCATATTTTACCCTGCCATTAGTTACTTCTAAGAATTTATTTGGAATGTTAAACTTGTGCAAGCAGAAGCTACTGAAATCCAGTCCTAGGCAGCAAGTGGCTAAGACACTGACTGTTTCTTGATTATGTTGAATATATTATGAAGTGCGCTTTGACAACAGACCATCCTCTAGGTTGTTTTTCCAGAGATCTCTAGTGCTGCGCATGCCGAGATGGTGATGGTGGTTCAAGTTTCCGTGACAAAGCTGTCAAAATCATCATGAACTTTTCATAACGTTCAGTTTGGTTAACTTGTGCTCCTTTGCTTCCCCACAGCAGCCTCATTGCAAACTCTGTCTGAAATGTCTCAAGAAGTTCTTCATCTGACTCGAAACCTAAGAATAAAGAAATAAGGACATTCAAAAACGTAGGGTATGAATGAGTATCAAAGAAAGCAGTGGAAGTAACAACTGTGCAACAATTCAAGATACAGTTAGACGATGTAAAAGGATCCAGTGCCTATCTATGGAAGGATAAATTTATTGGGGAGAGGAATGTCAAGCCCAATCTGCTTAGTCTTTGTTGACCTTTGTTGTTAATAAATAGTTTTATCTAGTGATAACGTGCATTATTTTGTCCTGTTTATGCATATTTATGGACAATTTTTTTCTGTATACAGTTGTTGGAAGTGTGAATTCAGAATTGGCAGGCACCCAGGCATTTTGATCCGTGGTGAACAAGGGGACAAAGTCAGACGTCACACGATGCCAGGTTATAGTCCAATATGTTTATTTAAAATCGCAAGCTTTTGGGGTGCTGCCCCTTCATCAGGTTCCCTTTTTATTCTTTTATGGAATGGGCGGAACAGCCGGCATTAACTGCCCATCTTTGAATGCTGTTGAGAAGGTAGTGGTGAGCCACCTTCTTAAATTGCTGCAGTCAATCTGCTTTAGCTATACCCACAGTGATTTGCTTTAGGCTTTTCTGTAATGATTTGATACAACTCTAGGCAGCATTTCTGGAGCAGTTACAAATCAGTTATACTGTGTGCTTCAGGACATAACAAAGGCCAGACCAAGATGGGATAGCAGATTTCTTTTCTTCAAGGAAATGTCGTGGTCATGAATACTGGGACTAGCTTCCTAATGCTAGATTTATTCCATAATGGGATTTGAACCGGTGTTCTCAAAGAATTAACACGGGCTTCTGGATTACTAATCTGGTAACATTACCATAATGTCACCATGGTGTACTTGCACGGATAAATTGTTCTCAAAGTAGCAGTTTATCTCAGTCTGAACAGCTGGCATCACCAGTTTCCAGTGCTGATAAGAATGGTCTAGCAGGGCTAACAGGGCTGGTAAAGGAGTCTCAGTTCACAACATTTTCTATCAAAAACAATTCAGGAATTGCTTGGTAAAGTTCAGAGTAAAGTTATTTAAAATATGCAGCTCAAACAAACTGAGAATGTAGAACTCATTCAAGCTGGTTACTTAAGAAAACATTGTGCTGACCTTTGCTGTATAGCAGTTGTTCATAACGTAGCAATTCCAGAACCTAATAGCTTTCGTGCAGCATTCAATTAAACTAATATTATTACAAGATTCAGTTTCATCAGCACTTATCAAAATTCTCTCAGTCTGAGTTCAAATCAGTCGACTGCGATGTTTTCTCCATTCAATGGCCAAGACCCTCACCTGCAAGAATCCGTTTTGCATTAGCTTCGTACACTGCAGCATTGTACGTGAAGATGCGAGCATTTTCCAGGTGTTTGAGCATTATTTCACAGCCCTCATCAATGCTCTCCCATAACTCAGTCGCCTCAAAGGTAACAAACTCCCGCTCCATAAGAGTAATGAGAGGCATGAGGTATGGAATTGTTGTCTTACTGAGTGGGATCTCCTCTAAAGGGGATAAACAGGAAAAAAAAAACACCATCTAGCAGAATGCAACAATGTGTTAAATAAAAACAGAAATTGCTGGAAAAAAGCAGCAGGTTGGACAACATCTGTGGAGAGGTTCGGGTCCAGTGACCCTTCTTCAGAAGGTTAACTCAGCTTTCTCTCCGTAGATACTGCTAGACTTACTGAGTTTTTCCAATAATTTTGCAGTTCTTTGGTTTTTTTGTGTAATGTGTTAAATAACATGCTTTAAGCTGCTTTCAAAATGATACTTAGAATTCTATTTCATACTTCTTGTAATTTTGTATAAAGATTTCACCACAGTAGTTTTATAATTAATTGTAATAATAAATACTACAAATACCTTCACCTCCCCCAATTTTCTCCGAAGAAACTGACTACCAATAGGTGTGTGCAAGGTAAATGATAGCTCACCAGTACTTATTCTTTACTTTAGAACCTAGGCAGCAAACAGTCAGACAGCTATTCAATCAGCAAGGCCTGATCCTACACTCAGCTAATATCAAAGCATTGCTTGCAAACAAGTCAGCAACACAAATTACACCTGATTTTTCTCCACTCCTTCCTTAGGTAAGAAAAGATGTTGGAGCTTTCCTGGTTTTCGTGTTTATGTTTGTGAACTGACAACTAACATTCATTTTACTAACTCTATTTTGGCCTGCACTGCACTATGAGATTATGTGAAGCAGATTCATACAGGTGGAAAACTTTAATTAAAGACTGACTTGCATTTAAAGATCTTTTATTGATTCACAAAATTTGATCAGCAATGGCAAGACCAGCATTTATTGCCCACCTCCTTGAGAAGGTGGTGGTGACCAACTTTCTTGAACCACTGCAGTACATGTGGTGTATGGACATCAACAGTGCTGTCAGGGAGGGAGTGCCAGGATGTTGCAATCCACAGAGATATTTCTAGTTACAATCCACAGAGATATTTCCAGTTACAATCCACAGAGATATTTCTAGTTGCAATCCACAGAGATATTTCTAGTCAGGATGGTGGGTGGATTGAAGAGGAACCTGCAAATGATTTTCCCATCTGCTTGCTGCCTTTGTCCTTCTAGGTGGTAAAGGTCATGGGTTTGGAAGATGCTGTTGAAGAAGCCTTGGTGAGTTATGGTAGTGCATCTTGTAGATGCTACACATTGCCGTCACTGTGGGTTCATGATGGTTTTAATGAATGTTTAACATGTTGGATGGGCTGCTTTGTCTTGGATGGTGTTGAGCTTCTTGTTGGTACTGCATCCACCCAGGCAACCAGAGAATATTCTGTCATACTTCTAACTTGTGCCTTAGATGATTTTAAAGCTTTTGGGATTAATTTTTATTTATGCCATTCACAATCACTGCGCATTCCATTTCAACTTACACTGACGGCCTTTTGAAGTGTCATCAACATTGTAGGAGTGTTGTAACTAATTTTTACAAGCAAGCTCCCTTAAACAGCAATGGGGTACTGACCATATAATTTGTTATTTCATATTGATTGAAAGATAAGTATCGGCCAAGACACAAGGAAAAACGCCCAAGTTGGAAATAGTGCTCTGGGATCTTTTACATCAGCCTCAAGGGTAGACAGGTTACAATTTAACTTTTCATCTGAAAGTTGACATCTGACAGTACAGCACTCATTCACCTCACCACTGCATTGGAGAGTCAACTAGATTGTTCTACTCCAACTGACTCTGAAACTACAATCCTTGTGATTCAGAGACAAGTATAGTAACAACTATGCTGCAGTTGATGAGAACGAAGCCAAGATTTAAGGCAGTGTTAGGAACTAAAGTCTCCCACATTGTTTTAAATTGCATCAGATTAAATTGTTTGCTGCTTCCTGCATGAATCATTCTAAACTCTTACCTCTTCCCTCGTTTAGCGCTTTGATGCATGGTTTAAGTGTCTTCTCATAAATAATGGCACTTTCAGTGTGTGTACGTCGCAGCACTGTCCAAGTTTCTTCTAACCGTGTAATCTATGCAGATTTGAAAAGTAACATGAGAACAGTACTTGTGTTGTATGAACAGGTGCCTCTCACAATAACTGCAGCAAATAACCAACACCAGCATAAATTCAAATTACTTATCTCTGTTCAAATCCACGACATGCCTCCAGTACTTTCCTGCTATTGTGAGGCACAGTTAGACACTGTCCACAGAGTTAGGCACTCCACAAACACACACACAGGCACACACACACACACTCCACAAACACACACACAGACACACCACAAACACACACAGGCTACACACACACACTCCACAAACACACACACACAGGCTACACACACACACTCCACAAACACACACACACACACACACTCCACAAACACACACACACACACACACAC